TGTAACCCATCATGTTAAATAACATTACGATTGATTTTAAATAAAAATTGAGGAAGTTTATTTATTGTATGGCCATATATTAAGAGCTAAAAAATTGAATAAAAATAGATAATTACAACTTGTTATTCTTACAGATACTTTACAAATGCCGTTATTGAAGGTGAAATTTCTGCCGACATTATATAAACCTATGATTGTTTAATTGGTCTTTAAAGTTTTGGTATTCGATTTATTGCCAATTAAAGTAATATTATTGAAGCTAAAGATACTTTACACAATAACTTTCTGAAAAGTGGAAACAGAAAAATATATAAAACTAAAAACTAGTTCAAATAAGGTTTGAAACAACTTACAATTTCGATAACTTTTACTAATTTAAATATATTTTTAGTTATCTTTGTTTTAAACAAATATTTTAAATCTTAACATTTTCTAACCATTCTTTCTTGTCCTTGATATAACTAGTTTAATAATATCAATAAAGCTACTAATAATATTTAATGCAATTAAGATAATACAAATATTTCAAAATTAAAATATTTGTACTTTTAATATGTAATTGAATCGAGTACTATATTTTGATTTAATGTAAACAGAAAAGTATTTATAATTTATGTTCACTCTTATAAATTATTGTCTGTATATTAATTTGTATATTATAATTTTGAATAATTGAAAATTTATTTATGTTCTAATCCTATAAATAGAAATTTTATCTTTGAAGACAAAAATAATCACTCATATTTTCAAATGATTGATTATAGATTTAAATATATTACTTATATATGTTGGAAGTCCCACTAGAAATAAGGTTAAATTATACGTGCAAACCTCATCTTACAAGTCGATTTTGTGGAATTGAGTTAGGTTTTAAATTCATTTTCTAATATTTTGAACAAAAGGAGTAGTAGTATTGAAGAGTAATGCAATATAGTAATGAAGAGTAATGCAATATATCATTGAATTAAAAGGTAGTAATATAGATCAAACAATTAGTTTTTATATATAAATATAAAAAAAATTAAAGCAAAATACTCAATCCAGGTTAACGAGTTATCATATTTCGTATATATACTAAACAAAAGGTTATAGTATTAATATAAATATATAAATTTATAAGATAATTAAAATTGAATTAATTATAATAAAAATATAGACACGTGCTAGTATTTAATTTCATGTCGTATTTTTGTTGGAAGCACACTTGCACACTCTTACGTGTGTGTGTATATATATATCCTGAGTTTCTCTTACATGTATATATCCTTTGTCCCTCTCAGTGAAGAACAGAGTTTCAACCTTTTGTTGTGCTCTTTTCTGCCATCTTCGGGGAGGAATCTTCAACGTGGACGGAGAGTCTAGTGCTTTCAGGCATAACAAGTGAAAATAGAAATATCCAAATAAATTTCGTTAGGATAGACTCTGATACCATATTAGAAAATGAATTTTAAGTCTAACTTAATTCCACAAAACTGATTTCTATGATGAAGTTTGTGCCCCACTTATATATTTATAATTTTGTTTTATTTTTAGTCGAACGTGAGACTTCCAACACAACACTGACTCCTCCCTCTCCTTGCTCTCTTCAAACAAAACGATGGTTTCTGGATTTGCATGATGTCTCATGAGATTCTCCTTCGGGTTGGATCCTATGTGCCTTGAGCAAATTTTTGCCAATATCGAACGTTGATTATTGGGTGACTTCTAGAAGTGCACGTTATAATCAAATGTAATATTGTTTTTTTTTTTTGTTTAATTTGTCCAATGGCTTTGATTAGTGGTAACATGTGGATGTGCATATCTACGAATTGTGCTTGATGACGAGGGAGAACAAACATTTTGAATTTAAGGTCATTTTCACAAAACCATTAAACATAAACTTGACTATTGAGATCATAGGAAAAATGTATATAGAGGAGGGAAAGTTGAGTAGGATGAAATTATTTTAAGCATAATTTTAAAATATTTATTTCTAATATTTTTATATTTAATAGTTATATATAAGTTATTCTTTAAAACTTTATTAAATTATAAGAAGTGAAGAAGAGAGATGAAAATTATATAGTTTTTTTTTTGTTTGACAAAGAATTTTGTTAAAATACATTGGTTGGGTAAAAGCTTTCAACATAGGATAAGATTATTATTTTTTATACTTTTTTAAGATCATATTTATGGTCATGTTAATTAGTTGATAATGTAAAATCTTATTTGATACATGAAAATTAAATTTAAAAACGAGGGGGTATCGATACAATTTTTGATAAAATCCATTTAATTTGTAAGAGGATTTTATGTTAGTAAATTAGCGTGTCTATAGGTACTACTATGTTATGTAATTGTTAACTTCTTTCATTGATTTATGTATTTAATAATGTTGGTTATTATTATTATTTTTATTATAATTTTATAGGTATAAAACATCTATAAATCTTGTCAATAATTAATTTTCAATTAAAAAACTGTAGGAATTTTTATAAAGTCTTATAGTTTTTTTTTGTACGATTCAAACACGATACCTTATAAAACATGCATCAAAATATGGATCAAAATAGTGATATGATTTTGGTAATCACATTGTTCATATATTTTTTTAATAGTGAGCATATCAAAATTGTTAACGAATCCGATGCTGTACTGTGTGGATGATGATATCACATTGGAGGAGACAAGCTTAAGTGGCTTTGAAAATATAAAGATAAAATCGTCTTTTTCATTCCGACAAGACATTGTCAATATAAAGAATACAAAAAGCCTTTCTCCACATTTGGGAATGGATTTAGAAGATATAATTACTTGAAAATTCTATTATGTATGTCAAAGAAGCCCTAAAAGTCATGAAAAAGTTTCATAAATCCTTGAAATAACTTCAGAAAAATCCTAAAAATAAAAAATGTCTTAACAATTTTAGTATATACCAATACAATTAAGATAATAGATTTTGTTTCTATAATTGAAAGATATCCAAACGAGATAAAAAAGAGTAAATTTTTTTAAGACATCTTTCTTATATAAAGTATATATAGATGACCCAAAACTAGAATTCAAAATAATCATATTACGAATTATAAAAAAAAAAAAATAATGCAACATACATCAAGCGTACAAAAAATACATTAAACATAAAAAATATTTTAATATAAATATATAAAAAATATTAAAAACATATAAAAAAAATTAAAATCTTTTATGAACCCCAAAACTAATTGTAATCAGACATTCAAATGTTTATAGTAGAAAGTGATGAATCAAGAAACGTAAACAAAAATACTAAAACAATGAATTAGATACCAAGAATTAAGAAAAGAAAAAAAGTGAAGAATTAAGAAAAAAGTGATAAATTAAGAAACCTAAACAAAAATACAAAAATAATACATTAGATACAAGAATTAAGAAAAAAAAAGTCATACGAACCGCACACTTTCACAATAGAAAGACAAGGGCACACTTTCACAATAAAAAGATAAGGGGAGAAAGAAGAGTGACACTAACATTACAAAAGTCGAAATTATAAATAAATAATTTTAACTTAAATTTCCATTATGTTACGTAATATAGCTTTAAAAAGATAAACATTTATAAAAAATAATAATAATAAGTTGATTTACTATTTATTTATGACTTTTTCAAATAAAATTTATATTCTTCATTTAATTTAATTAAAGTATTTCTTTTTCAACTTATAAAAAAATGTTCAGATTTATATAAAAAATGTAAATTAAATATGTATATAATTTTAAATTTATATAAAGTAATAACTTCAGAATTTTTAAGCGCACGCATATATATTTATATAATTACAGTATATAGCATAAATAATTACATTACAATTTAAATTTAAAAGCTAGTACTTTTTCAATATTGTCAAGTTATGATTTATATTTAAATTACTCAAAAATATGCTTAGTTATTTTTAATTTTGTTGTATTTGAATATTTTTAATTTTCTGTTAGATTATATAAAAGTGAAATTTTAATGTATTAAATTGAAATCTGATTTATTTTAATTTCTATTTATTAAAAGGAAAATTTTAGTTAAATTATCAATACATAGCTTAATATTATACAAGAGATGTCTTAATAAAAGATAAGTACATGTTAAATATTATTCTAACAATTTCTTAATATGTAAAAATTAAATTAAAAAATTATACATTTAATATAGATATTTTGTCCTTATATTTATTAAATTCAACAATTATATTACAATTATATTGCATTTAATAAATATAGGTGATAGTATGTAGTAAAATATTTATATTTGTATATAATTATATAAATAATATATTACTAAAGTTAAATAATGTATTTCACGTAATTAAAAGCAAAAGAAAATGCAATAGATTTAATAATGTTAATTAATATGTTTAATAAATAACATTAATGGCTAATTAATATGTTTAATAAATAGCATTAATGGCTAATTAATATGTTTAATAATCACATGACATATGAGTAATTAACACTATCTGATTATAGGGTATTAATGAGTGATTAATGGACTGGTCATCTGATAAAGCCTATAGATACAAGATTGCAACTGACTAAAAAGTATACCAAAACCATGCTAAAACATTATTTTGACTTGAGAGTCGGAGTATTTTGAACACCCTAGATTGGTGTAAAGAGAGGCGAAAATGAATGTAGGATTGGAGACAGTGAAGCGAAGTACAGAACGAAGAGCGGTGCAACAAACTCGGTCCTTTCATACCAAAACATAATAACTTTTTGTTATGCTTCCTCAATTTAATAGATAATTAAAAAACAAAAATAAAATTAAAATAGATTAAAAATATTATTGTCTATTTTGTTTTGTTTTTGTTGAACATAAGAAAAATGATTTAATAATAACTGGAAGAACGTGTGAAGGAGTGGTGTCACGCCATTTAAGTGAAGCGTTGGGAAATAAGAGATACGTTTTGGGCTTTGATTTAGTCTTTTTATCCAAAGGAGTGTTGGGCTGAACAATCACACTGCCCTTTCTTACATTTCTAATAAACTGTTACGGTTGAATACATTGATTCATTCATGACTAAGATCCAAAATCCAAGCCACCAAATACTGATTCCTTCACACTCTTTCGCTCCCTTCACATCTGCACTTATAATGACACTTTTTTCGCATTCCTGCATAATCTACACTCCTTAATAACAAATTATCACTATATAAACTCTTCCTTTCTTCCTCATACAATCCAATATACCTTTTTCTTTTTCAAATTAGACTGTTCCTTGGAAAATGAATAATGCAATAAACATGTTACAAAATTTGCTACTGTCACTACTGCTACTATTACCCTTTTTCTGTCCTTTGCCCGTTCAAGGATTTAATCAACATGAAAGAAAGGTATGCCCAACTTATTGCAACTATTTTTCACTATGCTTCTTTTATTACACTTTTCTCAATTGCATGAATTTTGTGGAAAAATAAAAAACAAAAACAGCCATATATTGTATACATGGGAAATCTACCAGCGGATACAAACTATGCAGTGAAAGCCCACCACCACAACTTGCTAGAGACTGCGATGGGAAAGTAAGGATCTCTGTTGTCAAATAGGAATGCATTTGATTGCACTGTTTTTTTTTACGATGAATGGCTCTTTTTATTTGTTTTACTTCAGCGAGCAGTTAGCCAGAACGTCCAAAATACATAGTTATGGAAAGAGCTTCAACGGATTTGTTGCACGACTTCTGCCACACGAAGCAGAGAGACTCCAAGGTTGGCATGGTGAAGTGATGCATTAAGTTAAAACACAGATGTTCTTTTAAGAATCATGCAATGGTATTTGATTTTTTGCAGAGGAGGAGAGTGTGGTTTCTGTGTTTCCAAATACAGTTCGTCAACCACACACGACAAGGTCGTGGGATTTCCTGGGAATGCCCTTAAACGTGAAGAGAAATTCCATGATAGAAAGTCATATTATTGTGGGGGTGTTGGATACAGGTATGAAGAAAACATTTGTGTCATATTAACAGTAAAAACGTATAATAAATTGGTTTTTTCTATCGAAACAGGCATTTCGATTGATAGCCCCAGTTTCGACGATACGGGGTATGGACCTCCCCCACGTAGATGGAAAGGCAAATGTGTAACTGGAGCAAACTTTACCGGCTGTAACAAGTACTGTTCTATGCATCACTTACATTTCCTCAGTCAAGAAAAACATAATATTATGTTAATCTAACATCATATGTTACAACAAATGTAAATAATTGTCGCATGTAAGTTAGTCACGCATGTTCATACACATGTTCATGCAAGGTTGATTAGATTTGGTGTGGAATGAATGAATCGCAGCAAGGTGATCGGAGCCACCTACTTCAATCTGGCCCAGAGCAACTCAAGCTACGACAGCGTGAGTCCGGCGGACGACCAGGGTCACGGCACTCACACGTCGTCGATCGTGGCGGGCTCGGTGGTGGAGGGGGCGAGTCTGTTCGGCATTGGCACAGGCACGGCGAGGGGTGGCGTCCCATCAGCCCGTCTGGCTATGTACAAAGTTTGCTGGACCGCAGGCTGCAGCGACATGGACATGCTCGCGGGCTTCGACCAGGCCATTGCGGACGGCGTCAACTTCATCTCCGTTTCCATCGGAGGCCCCGCACATAACTTCCTCAGGGACCCAATTGCCATCGGAGCATTCCATGCTATGAGCAAAGGGATTCTCACTTCTTGCTCCGCCGGCAACAATGGCCCTCGCTACATGTCCGTCGAGAATGTCGCGCCCTGGATTTTGACGGTAGCTGCTTCCTCCACTGATAGACAGTTCTTTACAGCTGCTGCTTTCGGTGATGGAAACAACGTCACAGTAAGTATGGTAGTTTCATGTGTAACCATAATTTAGCTCTCTTACTTTCTGTGCTGATATTCTTGATATCTAGTATAAAATAGTTAACAGTGTAAAGTTCTGGTATTTGATTGAATGATACGTAAGTAAAAATTTATGGTATTTGATTTGTACATGGTAGGGAATGTCGATTAATACCTTTTCGCCCAAGAAAAAGATGTATCCATTGACCAGTGGGTTCCTTGCTTCTAACGGTACCGACGATGGCTTTGGCAGTCCTAGGTATTGTTCTTCGTAATTGATCCTGATTTGCTTGCAAAACTTGTTCATTAGAAACATTATGATCGGTTTGAGAATACTAATGCCAATTATTATTGCTATTATTATTATAATTATGGTTTAGGGGTTGTGACTATGGGACTATGAGCAAGGAGAAGGTGAAGGGCAGGATAGTGTACTGTGTCGGGGGAACGGGAACACAGGACTTAACCATCAAAGATCTAGAGGGAGAAGGAACTATCGTAGTCGTTGACGACGTAATAGACGCCTCCTTCTCCACTGTTATTCCAGCTACCTTTGTTGAAGCCAATGCTGTGGACGAAACCATTGATCTCTACATCAATTCCACAAAGTACGTTTTTTCTTTCGCCATGCTCTTCAAATGGGTAATCACATAACTATTTCAAGTTAAATAACCCAAAGAAAATATCTTGATTGCATTGGAATTTAGGAATCCTGTAGCCGTTATTTACAAGACAACATCTAAACAAGTCCCTGCTCCAATGGTTGTTTCTTTTTCATCAAGAGGTCCTCAAACGATCACCCCAAATATCTTCAAGGTGATAACTCTCTCTATCTCTCCCTTTTCTTCCATTTTGTTTTGCTTCTAAATTTCTATTTGTTGTATATGAAGCCTGACTTGACTGCTCCGGGAGTGGACATACTAGCTGCTTATTCCAAACTGGAATCAATAACAGGGTACCGTGAAGACAATCGTTTTGCTGTTTTTAATATATTATCAGGAACATCTATGTCGTGTCCACATGTCGCTGCAACAACTGCGTATGTCAAATCCTTCCACCCTGACTGGAGTCCTGCTGCAATTAAATCTGCTCTAATGACCACTGGTGAGAAAATTAGAATATTCAATGTGCTAAAATTGAGTTGACAACAAAATTTTCACTTTCAAATCTAACATCTTTGTCTCTACTATTTAGCCACTCCCGTCACGATCGGTGACAACTTCACGGTACTGGGATCTGGATCAGGACAGATTAATCCTGTGAAAGCATTACATCCTGGTCTGGTCTACGACATCGGAGTGCAATCCTATGTCTCCTTCCTTTGTAAGGAAGGCTTCAACAAAACCAACATTGGTATACTACTTGGCATGAAAAATTTCAATTGCTCAAGCATTAAGATTGAGCCAGGAACGGACGGGATCAACTACCCCAGCATACATATCCAACTTGCCACTCCCCTTGATAGAATTTCTGGAGTTTTCTATCGGACTGTTACTAATGTAGGATTTGGAAATTCAACTTACAAGGCTAAAGTTACAGCCCCTGAAGGTCTTTCAGTGAAGGTCATCCCAGATACATTGCGTTTTATCCAATTGCACCAAAAACTGTCATTTAAGGTTGTTCTGAAGGGCCCCCCAATGTCCTTGGACACGTATCTAAAATCTGCATCACTTGAATGGGACGACTCTAGACACACTGTCAGAAGTCCGATAATTGTCTATAAACCAATGTCATTCTATTGAATGTATTGAACCGTAGTGGACAGTAGCATAATCTAGAAAATTGGCTGCGTGAGTTTTTTGGATTCAAGGAAAAAGAAAATGAGAAATTTATTTAACAAAAAAAGATAGTTGAGGAATTCTCTATTTTTTCCCTCATTTTTATACATCTTAGTTATTTGGTTTAGCTGAATGAAAAGAAATTTGACTGCACGAGCGACCATTTTATTCATCGCCTGCATCTTATAATCTCAGTTTTTCTTCTCTTAATAACTCACACTCCCTCCATAATATAAACTATTTGATAAAATCAAAAGAAGATTAAAGATAGATTTGAAAAAACATTAGAATAACATAGGATAACAAATTGCATGTTCGAATATACAAATTTAAAATGAAAATGTTAAATAAAGTTGAAATTGAACTACGTGGATGAAATTGAAATCCATACACAACAGAAAATCTACCTAGTTCACATACATAGAAAAAGCACCGTGTTCAGACTTATGATATGCTTATAAAAATATAGAAGCTATTGCATTCATGTCATTCACCCGAGGGACCAGCCAAATTTTGAACCTAATAATAAACAGTAAACAGATATCCCCACACCGAAATTAATTGATACACACACAAGGAATAGAGGCCGTTGTGCGCACGGCATGATTAAATGTCACTACTTCAGTTGAAAGATTATCTCATTTCTCAAATAAGGATGTAAAAGTACAAAGTCTAAATTTCTCTTTGTTCTGACCATTAAAGCGGCAAATTTCTGATTTTTGATGTTTACAGTCAGAAGTTGAAAGTTGAAGATTCCGGTATAACTACCAATGAAAAATTTGGTCAGTTTCCGCTTAAGAAACCAACTTCCCTCTGTCTCTTTTTCTCCTCAGTGGGGGCAAAAACTCCTGATAAGTAAATTAAAAATAAACAAGCAAAAGACTTATGAAAAAAAAATTAAACCTTCACCAAAGACAGCTCTTTACATGAGTTGCTGTTCAGTTATTTTCCTCCAAAGTTCCCCAATAGATATAGTTGACCTGTGTGGAGGAACTTGCACCCTTGGAATATATTCCACAGTCAACACTGCATTCGAGACTGGCGGCTATGGATGCTTTTCTGCTTGGTTAGTTCCTTTCTCCTCTTTCTTGCTTCTGCCGCAGCAACTGCATCAGCTAGACTTTTCCCCTGGCAAATAAACTGTTTTTGTTTCTTTTCAACTGAAGATGCACCAATATAAGCCGTTGAAGATGCTTTATTGTTTGGACCAGAATGCAATTGAAGCTCGTTTTCTTGTTCGGAAGCACAAGCTTGAGCATTACAACCAAGAGAGGGTCCATGATAATTTTCTATAATGTGACATCCTGTTTTCTTCTCACCTCCATCCAATGAAAATCTTGCAGGGTCATTAACGAGTCTGGCTTCTGTCCAGGCTCGATAATCCACATTTGCCAGTGTATTCAAAGATGAACTAGAACTACAAGGTTTGCCCAGAGAAAGATTATTTTGTTTATCTTTCAGGCTACAAGAAGGTGATGATTGTCCATTTCCAAACTGCGGACATGGGAATATCCAAGGGCATGGAAACATGTAAAATGGATTTGGTGTTTGCTTATCATTTATAAGGTTATTTTGCTTGTGATATAATTCAGACTCGGAAGAACATGGAACATTAGCAATAGATGGAATGATGATGGGATTAAATGATGCATTTGGTAAATGAACTGGATACGTAGGCTGAAGGGGCGAAGGCCAAAATACATGTTGAACAGGAAAAGGGTTATAAAGGAACCATGGACCACTACCAGACGAAGGTGTTACCTCAGCCACAGATGACTCGGGCTCAACGGGAGTTTTCTCTTCTTCTGTGTTTGTTGACTTGGCGATCTGCAAAATGGAAGATGACATTGATTTTCCTGGATTAATATACTTCCTACGCAAACAAGAGTTACACAAAAGCTTAAAGATTTATATAACATCAAACCAACTTACTTGTGCCTTTAAGTACTTATTTGTAGTCTCCAAAGACTGATACTCTTTCAAAGCCAAATCTTTCTCCTTTTTGTCAGAAAGTGTGGAAGAAATATGAATTTTCAGATAAAACATCCACTGGGGTAAATAGATTAGGATAAAGAAAGGGAAGACAATAAAAGTGCCTCAATAAAAATATAGAATAAGGGATAGTACGTACCTTCTTTAGACTTTCATTCTCCACCACCAAAGTGGCAGCTTTTTTTGTTAATTCCTCACACAGAGCCTGAAACATTTTTACATACACATACATATAAAGAAGAAATTTGTAAATATTTCAGTGACAAATCAATCAACCAGAAATAAATATACAACTAAAATAAAATAGAGTTTTTCTTTCATAATAGTTCGTTTTAAAAATCATATTATTGAAGTTTGCAATAACACGATTACATATACATTCACAACTCAACTATAGATTTGGGAGTCTTTTGATCTAATAGAAAATATGATGTTATAAAGAACAATATACTGAAAAGATCTCGTTAATAGAAAAGATCGATTTGACATCTTCTTGATGTAGTTACTTTGATCGGGACAGAAAAATTTAGAGTAACATACCACCGATAGCTAGGGAAGTCATCAATTACAGAAAACACTAAATAAAAAATAATCCTCATGGCATTTATCAAAAGAAGGCGCACATCAATACAGATGGTATCCATACTTAGGTCACAAATGGAAGAATTGAGGCTTTAGATCATTGTTATCAATCTAGAATAGCAACATATACCAGCTAACTCTGAAAATGATATAGCAGAGAGAAAAAGAGACGTGTTATTTTAAATATAATAATACAAAAAAAATTGAAGTCTATATCATGACAGTGCCACCATAGCACATGAAAAGCAGCTACGTGACTGCTATCGAGAACCATTTCACTGGTTCAATCCTATAGTGGCTATAGTGGCCTAGAGCCTCCCCTCTCCACCCTCAAACTATTGTTGCTAGGCACTCCTTGTCAACTTTTCTATTTTGGAAAAGGGGAGGAGGCATTATGTCATTTAAAACTAAACTTTGGATTTAGCCGTCTAATTCTTAACACAATCAAAATATAGCATATTAAAGTTATCATGCATTAAAAGAAACATGCTGAACCGAAATAGCACACTATTGATACTAGTCTACTTCTGTATTTGGAAGAAGAGCAGAGTTATTTAAAACTAACTTTTTGTTCTGACACCTTATTCTTAATGCAATCAAAAAAGGGTTTGTTATAGTTATTATGCACTATATAAAAAAGGTTAACCATATTAGCTTCTGGTACAAAACTGCTTGCATCCTGTAGTTACAGATCCAAAAATTTTATGTGTAGTAATACTTATTTACACACAAGTCCGAGGGAGCAATACTCATAATATGGATTGGTTTTATATTGTATTTCAATTTATGAAGATTAATTATAGTTACATTATACCTTATATTAAGAAAACTTAAAAGTTAGTGGGAGAAATTGTCCCCAAAGTTCACAAAGTAGAACATTTCTTGCATCTTGCTTCATAGGTGTGTTTGGTTTAGATTTAACAAGACATAAGCAAATCTAACAATGGTGAATTGATTTGCCTATGTATATACCTGCCTACGTCGAATTGTCTGCCTGGCTGACTCTCTATTTGCCAATATCCTGCGCATCCTCCTTGCTTCTTTTTCTTCCTGAACAGAAAGCCTAGTAAATTATAAGGTTCTACTATACCCAGAAATTGCTGTACAAATTCACTCCCATACCTCAGTTAAATTTTTCCTTGACCTGTTATAACGACCTAAAAGGTTATTTGATTTATGAGTTACATTGGAATCCTGCTCCTTTGATTTATGTGATACATTGGAATCCTGCTCCTGCTCCACCTCCGTATGACTTGAGTTATGTATTAAATTGGCATCCTGTTCCACCTCCGTATGACTTGAGTTATGTATTAAATTGGCATCCTGTTCCACCTCGGCATGACTTGAGTTAGGTATTAAATTGGCATCCTGCTCTACCTCCATGGGTTCGGAACAGTTATTCTGCTGAGTCCTCTCTGTTTCTACAGATGCAGTAGTGTGTACTTTTTCATCTTGCTGCTGATCTGCAATAGCTTGGTCCTGCCATAAAGTAAACCATTTATAAATTCATGTATCAAATGCTACAACTGGATGATGGTATCTTAGTTATTGCATGTGATCTTTAATTAATTGACTTATTCATCTTAAAAAAGGAAAAAGAAGAAGCTGACTAGGTTTAAATTCTTTCATGAAGTAAAAGTTAATCAGTGGTATGCTAAGTGAGAAAACCAAAAAAAAAAAGTGAAAAAAAAAAATTCTTAGACATGGATGTCACATTAAGAAAGTCTCAATCACCAACCAGGTAATCTGAATACCAACACAGGGTAAAAAAATCAATTGTTAATATTCCAACACATAATTTGTAATGCATATGCCCATAACATTAACTGTTTGTTTTATACAATATCAGTAGATCTCTCATTGTATTACTTACTTTCCATGTGATAAATATTTTCTTTCAGAAACAAAAAATTGTTTGTAGTGACTCTAAGTTCTTATAGTTGGTGCTAACAATGTAGGACTTTCTTTCTCTATTTCTAAAAAAAAATACAAAATGCAACCCAGACCATGGATGAGTCTCAAATAGAAAAAAACACGGATCCATACAATTGAGCTCTGGCTGAAATTTAAATTGCCGAAGAATAGTTACCATTTTGTTTACTGTTCTGTCAATTGCAGAAAACTTATTTTATTCAATTCGATTCCCCTATTTCTAGTTTTAAAAGTTAAAAATAGTTATCTGAATCACTTTTTCCATCTAAATAAAATAAACATATAAATCTTGTTATCCCGCCTAACTGTAGACTCCTGTGTGTGTTTACATAAAAACATAACATAATTCAACAGCATTAGTGAGAAATACTAATACTATTTGTGAGAACGAAGTTGAAATTGACTGGACCCAAATTATATAATTAAATTAGGAAAGAACAGTGAGAAAGGAACCGCAGTCCCAAGAGAGGGATCAGAGTGAAGAGTCGGTGAAGGATGAACTTCAGGAATGGCACATAGTTTGGTGCACCATTTGTCAGTAGAGTGAGAATCACGCATTGCCAACTGTGCGAGAGTCTCAGCCGCTTCCATCTCCTCCTTGTCAACAAGCCGATCCATACCTTCACAGGAAGAGGACCTAGAAACGGAAGTGGAGGTGAATGCGCGCTTCTCCGATTCAGCATCCATGGTGAGGATGTTCAAGCCTGTTGCAACAGGCAGAAAGAAAATAAGAGAGAATATAAGAGAAGAGTGAGTCTTTTGTAATGTAACGTAACGGTGAGAGTGAGAACCGAACAGAGGGAGAGAGGGTATCACATCACTCACTGGTTAGGAGAAGAAGGAGAGATAGTAGATTATTGCCACGTGTCATGCCAGTTCACAAGTGGACATCTGTGATAATAAGCAACAAGCTATGTTGTCTCGCCACGTATCCCAAATTTTACCACGTAGGCGATTTGCCGCACTGCAAAAGTTGCCCCTTCAACATTCTATCATGATTGTTACCCTAATTAGGAGTTTCAACTTATAACCAAAATGTCAATAGCAATTCAAACAAAATAATGAGTTAAAAAAATATAAATAATTTGTTTCTTAATTTATTATATAATTAACCTAATCTGCACAATTTGGTGTTTTTCTGCACCATTTTATGACAAAAATATATATGTTTTTCAATTATTTTATCCTATTAATATACAGTTATCTTTTAAAAAAGTTATATATTATAAATTGATTGATGTTTTCCTCTTGTGTTTTAATAAGAAGTGAATAATAGCAAAGTTAATATAAATTGTTTTCAGATAATGAATTGAAAAGTGATGCTAAAATATGTTTAGTTAATTATAAAAAATACTCTTGGAATTTGTTCTGTTTTAAATAATTATACAAATGCATTCAAATTTAGTACATGATTCTAAAGCAGTAGTATTAATATAGAGTATTATGGGTATGAATATGATAGGTTTACATATGAGTGTATAGACATTTGAGTATATCGATGACATCCTTTCAGAATCGGCGTGACAGCGGGAGTCGAATGGGGAGGAAATAACTTCACGTCAGGCGGTGGAGTTTGACATCGTCTGTGGAAGAATTTATGAGCTGTTATTCGTGTAGTTATGTTGAAGGTTTTTTTATACACGTGTTAAGTGTACGTGTCACTCGGATAAATCTTACTTAGATGAATAATAACACTCTTTTTTTCAAAAAATTTAAGATATTTTATTAATATATATTGAAGATTCTTATAATATTATATTATTTTATATTTTTTTACCAAAAGGTTTTAGAAAATATTTAAAATAAATGAATTAAAGTTTTATACAGTATTGTCAAAAGGAGTCATTTAATCCAATTTCATTCAGTCTATCATGGGTTAGTCACTCACGGAATCAACCTAACCTGACTCATTTAATAATGAGTCAAAAAAATTCGGATTTGATAGACTCACCACAGGTTGATGGGTTAAGAGAATTTTTTTTAATTAAAAAGAATAAAATACAAATTTCTAATTTAAATATAAATAAATTTTAATATAAAATGATATTAAATCTCAAAGGACAGTTCAAAATAAAAACTATATAATACAACTCAGAATTATCTTAAATTCTAAATATAATTCAAAAATAAACACAAAAAACAAAATTAGGTGGATTGACTAGTCAACCCAGCTCATCACAGGTTCATCCCAGATGAGTAGAGATTAATTCATAAATTTCAACCCATTTTTACAATACTATTCAAAATACTTATGAATCAAAGATTAAACACTTTAATGTTAAATAGTAAATAGTAAAACACAATTTTAAAACATCCATTTCTAATTTTTAATTAATTTATGTAACTTTATTAAGAAATCAAAATTAGTGTAAAGATGTTATATAATATGTCTTTTATATACTTAGTCCTTAATAGCTTTTAAATATTTATCTAGTTAAATTGTCTCTTGTAATATATTATTAACAAATTTTTATATATTAAATAAAAAACATTATTCTTATTAATTAACTAAGATCAATTTTTTTAATTTAATTATTATTTAATAAAATATATAATATATTATACATCAATTTATAATAACATGACATAACAAGACGATATAATAGAATATAATAAATTTTATTTACAATTTATCTCAAATTTAGCACAAGTAATTAAATTAAACATAATAAAATATAACCTATATTTAAATGATGTTTTTTCCATCAAAATTACAATATAATTTACTAAATTTTGAATTTAATTTTTTTGTTTATTGAATTATCAAAAACTATAATTTATTTATATACCAGTTTTTATATTAGAAAAATTATATGATATTTCAATTTAAATAAAAATTATTTAATCATAATATTTTAATAAATGATAATATAATCAAAACTTATATTTAAGAACATAAATAAATACAAAAAATTGTGTTTAATATAATTACGAAATGTGCTATTATATAAACTAACATTATCACAATTAAAAAAAATATTTATAAACTTATTGTATCTTGATATTATAAAACATTATATAAAATTAATTATAAAATTTTTGAACAATAAAAATTAAATTTAAATTCATATACTATGGATATAAAAATTATTTATCATTTGAATCTAACTAACTACTTACTAAGATAATATTATATGATAGAATAATAATATATTAAGTTATAATATTTCATGACAATCAATTAATAATAAAAAAAACTCATTAGAAATTATGTTAAATGTTAATTTTGTATTAAAATTGTATATTTTTTTCTAAACTTAAATTTTAAATTATTTTTTATCAAATATAAAAAATTTTAAAATATTTTATTTATCTAATTATTTTTTATATTATAAATTTTATATTATATTTTAAAATTATATTTAATATATTAAAATATATAATATTATTATTTCATTTTAATATCATAATAATCATATAATTTAAATTCATATGTCACATTAATTATAAATATAAATGCATATAAGAAAATATGTTAAATAGAAAACTATGATATATATTAGCATTTAAATTAGTATCAACACTTATACAAGTTTTATTTATACTTAATGTTTATTAAAATTATGAAAACACATGTATGTTATTTGTTTTTACTGATAACAGAATATAATGAAATTATAATTATAAAAGTGAATATAAATATTTTTTTTATAATTTTATTGTAGATAGTTTTATTTATTTTATAGGTAATATTATTACAAATAGTTATTTTAATTTAAAAAAATGATTAAATTTAAAAAATATTGAATTTAAAAAAGGTTGAATTTTGGAAAAAATATTAAATTTTAAAAAAAGGTCATTTAAAAAATAAAACTGCATATAAAATTGATAAACAGTTACTTATTAAATGATAAACTTAAAAAGAGATGTGTACACCAAAGATGAACCCTCATTATATATAATAAATAATATAGTGTAGTATATATTAAATATAAATTACTTATATAATTTTGTTGTAAATTATTTTTATTTATTTTATGGGGAATTTTTAATTAAAAAATGATTAAGTTCAAAAGATATAAAATAAAAAATTAAATTTAAATAAACTATCGCTTAAAGAATAAAATTAAGAAAAATTATTTTTATTTAGAAAACTTTTATTTTGAAGGTAAATTTAAAAAAAAAATGTTGAATGGAATATTTTTTTTATATATAGGCATAAATAAATAAATTATATAAGTTTTATAAATATCATATTATTGATTCAAATATTTTTTTAATGAAAATATTTAAATAAAAAAAGTATCTCTTATATATTATTTATTGTTGTAATTTAAATTTATTTGAGTATATTATATATATAAAACAGTGAGAAAGAAAGTGTATCATACTTATTAAGATGGGGAATAGAATAGAATAAAGGATGGGATACATGTTAAAATAACATTATTACACTATAATATTACAATATCACAACTAATAAGATAATTCTGTGGCTAAATCTTAGCTAAAAAAACTACTAATTACAATATTATTCTATTATATATTTTAATTACTAAATGGATCCTTCATTTATAGAAAAAAAAATCCATAAATATTTATGGTAAAAATTGTGTAAACACAGTCAAAAGTATATTTGTAAAATATTCATGGAGATGTGTTTTCGTCAATAGATAATTTTAAAACTCAATTAAGATAAAATAAAATCTCCTATTTAATAAAATATGAGATAAATATACAAAATTTATATTAGTTTGTCATTTGTTAAATGGATTGATATATGAAAGTATCCAATATCTAAATGATTTTTTCTTGTTTTTAAAAATTAAATAGTCAAATTTCCTATTCTATAACCAATAAAGATGAAATCACACTATTTGACTATCTAACTTTGAGGAATTATCTTAATTAATGGTTGATTTGTGAAATTTTATTCATCTCATTCCTATATAAATTCAAAAGATCACTTAAATATAAATATGTCATTAAAAAAAAGTTATATTTCTATTTTCTTTTTTCAAATCTTGATATATCTTTTATATAACAAATAAATTAGTAATAAGGATTTGTCTTATGAGATATGCTATGTGGATATTTAAACAATTTTTTCTATGTTATTCTCAATTTGTTATGATGAAATAAATTAAATATGACATTTGGATTATGAAAATAAAATCCTATCTCAAACATTTGAGTTGTCAAAATAAAATTTAACCTAGGATGTTGTGAAAGATTTTATGTTTAATGAGTGATAGATATAACCAGGATGTTTCACCTGCACCTCATAATTCTCGTCTGCACCTCCAAAATACTCGCCTTGTCAATATCTGCACAGCTGTACGACTTAAAAGAAATAGAAGGAATTTTTTTACTAGATTTTGTTTCAAAATTTACAACCCAATAAATTAGATATCATAATGTTGTTGTGTTAGCTCTTCTTGCATAAAATGATTGGTTCATGCTCTTAAATGAATATTTGAATTTTTTTTTGCTAAACAACTAGAAGGTTTTCCCATTGAAAGATAATACAAAAGAAGTATAAATATGTAAAGCTGTAATTTCTTTTTTTATTACACTAAAAATGAAATATATCAGTTTTTATTATACTTATAATACTAATTTGACTATTTATCCTTAAACATATTTTATTGAATTATATATATAAATGTCAATATTAATTATAAAAGTTATATATATGTTTTTTTTTCAGACTAATTTATTGCCAAATGTTAGTAATTATTATCATTTCAAACACTGTTACAGATATCTTTTGGCTCGTAACATTTTAGGATATAATATTTTTCCTAACTAAGCCAAAACTATAGCGTGACTTACAAAAGAAAATATTTTTTCACATATAATGAAATAAACAATTCTTTTATAATAATATGATAATAACCATGTTTTAAAAATTAATTAAATAAATAACTTTCAACTAATTATGTGCCTAAGATTAATTATTACTATATCAGTACATTTATGTTCATGTAATACTATCAATTGAGTGTGTCTATACAATGGATTGAAAAATATATTTAAATATAACTATTTAAATAAAAATAAGATTTGACCTACTTAAAAAATTGTTCTCGACTAATTTTTTCAATAATGGATTATTCTACACAATCAAAAACACATTTTATCCTATTAAGTCTAAAACATTTTGGATCATAAAAAGTATCTTCATTAATTAAGCATTTCCTGATGAGCTGATCATGATAACTAGCAGTCCAATGATTCTCTCTCACTTTTCTATCATTAGCAGGGGATCTTCAAACCCTCATTGACTTATGTCTTTCGGACAAAAATCCATTTACAGATCATCTAATTATTGTTTGTGCTGATGACACAAAAGTGGTCACAAGAAACACGGTGTCTCTTGGACATTATTGATATTGCACGGTTTCCAAGTCCATAAATAATATAATAATATTCTTGCATTTCTTTCTTCTTCTACTTTTAACTTTACTTTCTGCCATGTCGTTTTGTAGAGTTATCATGATTGCATCTCCATTTTCCTAACCACTTGTTCTATTCCGAATTATATTTTAAAGTGACCATGCAGCTGGAGAAGTCTAGGTCCACCAAAACATTTCAAGATATGAAATGAACTTATCTTCTAAGAGTTAAATATCTTTTTAACAGTGTTTGATTTTTTTATTTGAAATTAGATTTCCTTTATATTTTAAATATTTTTATTTGTCATGTTTCCTGTTGGTATTTAAATATTTTATACCGTTTTAAACTTTTTCTTAATATTAATTGTAAAACATGTTTAAATATATAACAAAATTTAATTTAATTAGGTTAAATGCAATAATTAAAAAATAAAATATTAGAGTTTATATGTGTTTTAAAATAATAAGACCGATTAAAAAATATAAAAATTTTTATATTTATACTTATTGATTAATGTTTTTCTTAAGGAATGTTGGTATGAATGCTTGTGTTTGGTTTGTACTTGTTTAGATCACTTGTGGCTACTGTTTTGGAGTATAATTTAGTGGAAATATGATGCTTTTTTTAGATTAGTAAATAGATAGAGTTTAGAGTTGGTTTTGAATCAAAAAAGGGTTTTTGATAGGCTGAATTTTGAAATAATGATTTAATAGAAAAAATTAGGATTTAAGGTATGTTCTTATGCTATCTAAGACTTGTTTAGACCTTAAGTCAAGTAAAATCTGATGTTGAATTTGGTCAGTAGTTGATAGGATTAATTTTGTACTATTTTTTGTTTATTTTTAAAGGTTTTAAGGGGTGAAAATTTAAAGGACAGAGTTTGTGATGAAAATGAAGGTTCGAGGTCTGTTTTTGGGTCAATTGTGACTTGTTCAAACCCTTAGTTTGTAAATTTTTGGTTTAGAATGTGTAGAATTGACCTTAGATTCTTTTGAGTTGGTTTGATGCATCTAGTTTCTAATCAAATAAGCAAAATGGTACTTAATTTTAACCATAAACATATTTTAGTATCAATCTTAGTGTGTAGGAAACCAATTTTATTTGTTGAATAGGTCACATGTGCATCCAAAGTAGAAAAACAAGTTGTTGTCATCTGGTATGACGTTGAGCGGTCTTGTGTGACGTTGATTGATGTCAAACCCGAGAGCCCCTAGGCTTTAGGACGTTGAGCGCCACGAAATCAGTGAACTCTCTAACTTTAGGGCTTTAAGCGGTGAGTTTAAAAGTTGAGCGCCACATGGTACTGTAGGTCTGGCGCTGAGTGCAGGGTTCTGGCATTCGATCCGTTATTTAATATGTTTAGTTTTTGTTTCTTTTCTTATGTTTCTTATGAATAGGAGATATATTGATATTGTAATGTTTGTTTGCTGATAAATATTGAATGTTATGATGGTTGAGGCAGAAAGTTGTGTATGTATTGAAGTATTGTTTGAAAAGAGTTTCTAATGTGAAATTCTTGACGGTGGTTCCAAGTAGAGTGATGTATTGATGTAGGGACTCAACCTTAGAAGTTATCCTAATACTTCAATAACCGTTACATCTCAGATAGAGAATGAGATTATGTGGTGAAGAGTAGCAGAAGATCCTAATCTATGGTCTCGTTCTGTAAGAGATTAACAAATTAATCTTGTGTGGTAGCTTGAAGGGCAGTTGTTCCACCACTAGAAGTGTACAACTTGTCATAGTCTGACATCAATACATATATTCAGATTGGTCAAGTCTAGAACTTATTTGTATGCTTAGGTTTGATTATGAAATGAGTTGTGTTATATGAGGCTTTGTAATTGCATGAAGTGATTCTTTTATAATATTAGTTTACCCTTCTTATTTTTCTTGTTTGTTTGTGTTTTTTTGTATGATTTAAAATGATCACCTGATGGGTGTGAGCAAAGAGAAATAATCAATGTGGAGTAGACCTTAGGCGGTGAGGACTCAAATGTATGGTCTACTTAGTGTAACTAATGTTACCTTTTGAGTTGTAATATTGGTATTTTAGTAAATAGTTTTTAGAATAGAGTTATGTATACAAAGAGCAAGGGTAGCATGACATACATTGACATTCTTTTAACACACCTAACAAGGGTAAAATGGTCTTAAAAGAATGAACTTTTGTAGTTTTTCAAAAAAGAAAAAAATAAAAAGTAAGGAAAGATAGTGTCAAATGAATGTAAGAGAATTATGTGTGTCAAAATATCATTTTTCGTATATAAACTTGATTTAAAGTTATAGTTATGTTGTGGATAACTATACATACATTTTATATATCTTTCATAAGTTAACTATTCTAGTTTTATTGAATATATGATATTTTCTTAATAGTATTTAAACTATTTAAATGATATATTGCATTAAATAAACTATATCGGTTATTTTTAAGTTTAAGAAATAGAATGTATCAAAGTTTCAAATGATGAATTTTTTGGTGTAAAATTCACTACTAAAATTATATTTAACTTTTTCTTTAATAATAAAAGGTGAACAAATATATATTATGGAGCTTTAGTTATCAGGTCAAGTTTTTCCTTACACATCAATGCTAGTTGATACATAATATTTGGTGCATATTCCTAGTTAAGTGCAGAAGATATACCAACCATGTACAGTAGCCTCTCACTAGAACACGTTTAGTTTAACAGTTCAATCAATACACGTCAAACAATTTTTTATGGAATCATACCTTATCCAGAAGTTTAAAGAAGTTATTTCTGACAAGCTTTCATCTGAATATTCTAATGTTATAAACTTCTTTTGTTAATCCAAACCAGGTCATCTAGCATAAAAAGCTTCACAAGTGGTAGTCACATCAAACATCTTCAAGTTTAGTGGGAAAAAGAAAAGCATGAGGTGAGAGATCATGACAACGATTGGACCTTATTATTAAGATCACGCTCAAGTCCTTGAGAAATTTGCATAAGGTAAAGAACAATAACGAAACACCTTTAGCCTTCACTTTAAAACCTAAAGCAACATGGACCTTCACTTTAAAGATCCTGACATTACATTATATACATTAATTGACACAAGTCCCATCAATGTTACAGCAAGATCCATTAGGAGGTGAAGACAAAACAAGCCCACCCAATTGCATGTATGAAGGTGTAGGGGGAAGTTTTGGAGAAAGGTGAAGCATTTCCAAGGCCTGTGTTCTAAGTTCTATAGGGTAGTCAGCAACACACCCAATTCTAGGTCCAGCTCCTGTTGACCACTTAAGAGAAAGTCGGTGTCCTAATTGGTAGGACTTCGAACCCTTCTTGGAATTGATTCTTTGCAATATTGCAGTCTTGGGCACCACAGCTTTGGGACTCTGAAGACCACCTGATAAAGTCCTTGCATAAGTAACAGATTCAGATTGAGGATTTCGCTTAACTAAGGATGGAGCATTGGTGGTTCCTTCAGAGATTTCAGGCAGATGCAGTTCTCCAATGCTTTCAAGTGTTTCTGCTCCTTCACTAATGTTATTGTTGTCCTCGTATATATCAGAATCTTCATTTGGCTTTCGCAACTGAAAACATGAATCATAATTAAGTGATTCCAACACCTAGTTTTCACTTTAGTTATTAGATGTTTCGGCCTTGTATACACATGACCATAAACACTATCTACTATATAACAAAAAGATTATGATATAACCCATATTAAAATCAGAAAATACTAAATGATCAAGGTATTAAATAACCATCTTTCGGATTGAATATTTTCTACAAACAACATTTTGACAAAATCTGTAACTATAGTGTACTACAGTTTTTAGTCTAACTTAAAATATCCTGATGCAGATCACTTACCTCAACTTCCTCAAGCTTGACGCCATTTTCCTTTAGATATGATAAGAAACCGTCAAGAGTGTCATCTTTTGGCCGGTAATGTCCACTATAAGCAGAGATGGACTGAAAAGTCAAAGTCATACTTCAATACAATCAGACATTTGCAATGCACATAAAATTGGAGCTGTCAAATTCCGTAGTTAGTCACTATGAGTCCATGGACATTTATGCAAACAATAGTAGTCCCCTATCTCCTTGTCCCTATAAAATCTAGCAGGCAAATATCAGAACTTCCACTAGCTATCACAAGAATTAAATCATACAACCTACGAATCTGATTCACCTTAAGAATTCCATGCTCGGCCACAAGCCTTCCAGCAGCTAACGTAGCTCCTCCAGCCAAAAAACTAGAATGGTGAAATAATCCCTTCTTTTTCTATAAGGTTAATGCGATGTATTAGTGGCACGGTCAAGGACATGGAAGGTTGTACTTAAGAAAATATGTAACCGAACTTGAACTGTTACCTTGCCAGCATAAAGTTTCTTAGAGGTACTCATTACAAATATCCACTTTGCATCATCACCGTTTTCGTTTGTATGAAGTGCGTCTCCATATTGCTTGTTGATAATTTTACCCTCAAGCACAATATATTCATACTGTTCTCTCTCTTGCTAAATTTGAAAAATAAGAACGAGTAGACAAAGGAAAATAAAGTTAGATGAACGTGTCAAAAAGCAAGAATGCCAACCTTAACCACATTTAAAAAATATGTATACACACACACATCCAAATCAGATAAGCACATACAGGTCCCAGATATTTAATGCAGTCCTTTTGTAGCTTTGATCGGGAGCATTGTTCAAGATCAAGATTCTTCCCGTTTCCCAAATCCAACCTGCAGGAGAAGAAATAAATATTTAAGTGACAAAAACCTAGAAATCTCCTGAGTTCTCCCCTTTTTCACCTTACTCTGTATCTTAACGCCACTATGATATAGCCGTGTGTTAAGATAAGAGACAAGGAACAAAGCTACAAAGCCTTATTATAACCATAGACAGGATATAAAATTTATTGCAATTTCCAATTCCACAATAGTAATTTGCATATGAAGCACTGTCATATTTGAATATAAAAGCATAATCAGTGATAGTACGGAGAAACTTGAGGGTTGTCTCTGATCACAAGAAGATTCCCATGTTCCCACAATGGAAACACCAAAACAACAACATACTTATGAGTTACGTATTCCAAGTCGATGACGTTGTTTGTCGGAATAAAGCTTGTAACTACCAAGATACCGGCCAAAGGATTCAACTTTTTATCGAAACGGGCACATGCAGGTGAAAATATATTTTGCACATAAAACACACTGTCAATAAAAAATTGTGCCTACTCAATTTTCACCCAGGTTAATTTTAACCAGAGGTAAGAATAGAAACCTTTCTTTCACTCAATAAGAACATCTTACCAATAGAAAAATGGCTGACCAGCATCAGATTTACACCATTCTTTATAGTAGTATTGCAAGTTGTGCCCATAGCGATGTCGTGGATCAATCTACTTACACAACCAAAATTCAAATATACAACCATGATTCTTCAAGTACAGAAAAACATCAACAGTATTTCAACAGAGAAAAAAAAACTCATTGGTCAAGAAGTATATAGTAACATTAATACACTCACAGCTTCAATCCAATGTTGAAAAGCCAACTTTTGTGCTTTGGAGTCCCTGGACAAACCTTTACCCACCTGCGCAAATAATTGAAGCTAAAAGCATTAGACCCGCAGCAGCATATATATTATTAATTTGGACTTTAGCTACTGTGAACCAAAATCATTAGTAACATATAGAAGACGGTGTTAAGACAGAAGCAATGAGATACCTTGGCAGCGTTCAACTTAACTCGGATCCAGCGCAACGCAGCAGTTTCAGGCAAATTAAAGAAGGAAATGGTGCTGTGGTTTAACCTAACATAGTCTATGGCTTGCCACCTGCAAAAGTTATACACATAAATTATAAGTTGATCTCGGACCATCATCACATATGATATTCATCCATCATGTGACACCTAATCAAATTTTGTTCAGTCATATATGTTAAGATAATAATATTTTGTAGTAGAAGAAGTATAAATCAGAGTGCGTGCATGGATGCAGACCATAGCTCTTCCGCAACAACGGCTGAGTCGGCCAACCTGCGGCGGGTGCGGTAACTCCGGTAGACCTTTTGCAGCTTGAGTGCGGCAGTGGCATGTCGGAGAGATGAGTGGTTGAGAGGGGCATTATTGGGAGGGAAGTAGGTGTCGGTAGATTGGGAGAGAAGATGGAATTGAAAAGTCGGGGAGAGGGAGTGAGTTTGAATCTCCATGGATGATGGGAAGGAAGAAGCCACTGAAACAAGTGCTTGTTTGAGTGTTTTAAGGAGAGTAACTGTATCAATGATTGTAGGGGTGACCTCTCACTTCTCACTGGACATGGTCTTCCCTACGCTTTCAAACAAAGCTGGACAAGGGACACTTCATTTTATGTCCATTCAAATCAACCACTTATGCCTTTTATTTTTCTTAAATAAATATACGTGGTGTTATCAAATATATGTGGTTAAAATTATTAAATATACATTAAGTAACTCATTTACATAGTTAAATATTAATTAATTTATGAGCACGTGTTTTTCTTCAATAAATATGAGAAACAGATATTGTAACAAAATAAATATATATTAAAATATTTTCAAATAAAATATTATTGTGAATTTTTACGTATTTATTAGATATCATTATGAACTTTAATCTTTCAACTATATTGAAATTCTAAAATTCATGAATCCTTTTGATATTACATAAAAATTTATTAAAAAATAAATAAAATAATACAAAATACGAGGAATATATAAGCAAATTATACTTATTATGAAAAATAATTAAATAAATATATGGAGTAAAACGTTAAACTAACTATTGGTCTTTGTAAATGAAAAATAAATTAACTAACTTATCACCGCAATAGTTTCCTTTGCTAAAAGTGTGATAAACTTTAAAGTGAATATTTATACAGAAATGAACACCAACGTCACCTCCTTTTGAGACTCAAAGAAATTATCTGTTGATCCAAAAAATCATGACAGACTACCAACCAAAGCCTCTGGAAGTCCCCTCCTCCAAAGCATAAATGATTCTCATAAACTTATCATAAATGGAAGTGTGTACTCCTTAAAAAGGTGAAAAACTATCCATATATTTATCCCGACTTCTTCTACAAATATCAACAGATAAAACCAAACCAGGGCAATCCATAAAAGTACCATCAATATCTATCTTAATCTAATTAACAAATGGAACTTGTCATATTTTGTCCATAAATGAAATCACCCTACTTTTCCTAGTTTGAATAAAAATTAGAGACAATATTACTCATATACTTCTTAGATTTATTTTCAGTCATATGCAATTCTTTAATTTGAAAAACAACATAAAAAAGACAATTGGTTCCTAAAATCTACTATAATTTCTCATCCTACAAATAATCCAAATAATTGTAGTAATGAAAATCACTTTAATCAATTTAAGTAAAGGGTTATAAGGTCATAAACTGAACAAACAAATCTAAAGATGAAAATTGCAAATTTTGAAAAACTTATTTTAATCATTGCCACCACTGTATATCAATAGAATAATGAAAGAATAAATGAGAGAAATATTCAACATTATTAGCACACAAATAACATAGAGCATAAAATCACTCCTTATTTAACCATTATATCAATAGGTAAACAGTCATGCAACAATTTATTTTCAAAAAAATCAGAGTTTTAACTCGTGACACTTCATTCAACTAAATCAAGTTTCCATATTCCACATGTTTCATACCAAAAGAGTAAAACTTTTTTACAGTTTTATCAGAAAGTACACTAGCATCATAAAGAATCCAATTAAGTACATCATCATCTTCATTAACCATTAAAGAAAAAAAAACACATAAATTGACAACAAAAGAAGGAAAATTATAGTGAATACTTGTATAGGCCAAACTAACAACAAAATATAATCATACTATGTAAGAATAAGAAGTTTTAGCTAATTTAGATATACAAACACGAGAACATCAACAATTATTCCAAATATTAAGACAATTATTTTTTAATAATGTCCAAAAAGTATTTTTTTTTCAAAACATATATTTATGATCAGACTTAAGAAATCAAACATACATAAATTTAATCTAATGTTATCATAAAAAAACTCCTAAACTAAACGTAATAGATAAATTTTATTCTCAAACTAAATATTAGTATTATACAAACTATTATTTAACTTAAAACCACACAAAATCAACCATTTGAATTGAATAGTTCATATTCTATGTATTTACAGTTCAAACAAATTTTCACATATATGATTATATCTCGATAATAAATTTAATAGAGTTTTTGTAAACCAGCTATAAAACATATGTTAAAAAATTTCAATATCTTCTAAGCTACCACACTGGATTACGCAAGCACAAAAATAATTTTTATTTTAATAAACTAATGAGTACTTAAATATTATAATTTTTTATCACTTAGTTTTATTTTAATTGTTTGAAGTATTGAATAACTTGATGGAAAATGTGATCTTTTAGAAAAGCTCTATTAGTTTTATTTTTCGCATTGTCTTATTTGTTTAAAATTGCGGTGGTTCAACCTTCCCATTTTTTTAGTCGCTGTAGATCGAGCCATATCAGAATTTTAATAATTTATTATACAATACAATATTGTGTTTTACACCTCTTAGATTTATTAATATATCTCAATTTCATATTCTTTTCCCAAAATATATTTTTTCTAGAAAGTGCATCATACGAAAGTGTTAGAAAATTCGAAAATTTAGGTAACTAATTTCCAAAATTATTAAAATAAATCAAAATTTTGAAGGTACTTTTAAGAAAAAAATATTTTTAAAAACATAAAATAGAAATATAATGTTAAATATGTGAGGTGTAAATAACATTTGTTTTGGTTGTAAGGTGACATGAGTACATCCAACGACCTACACATGGACTCATACGTGGAAAAGCTCCGGGCTTTTTTCTTTATGCACGTCCATCTCTTGTGCCTTTTTACACCGGTGGTTCTTGAAATTCCATTTCTTGTGTCTTTGTGCTCTCTCTTTGATCTTGATTCTCGCTGCACAAGAATACCAGATCCAAAAAATGCATTTTGGATTACTCAATATGGAACATATTTCGCAACAAACTAAAATATTCCGAAACAAATTTTCCAAAAATCCAAACTCACCTTCTTCCATGGAGTGAGAGAGGTTAATAGAAAAAAATAGAGGGAGGTGAAGAGAGAATGGAGGGAGAGAGGTCAGCTGTGCGGCACAGGAGGGAGGGAGAAAAAATAATTAGGGTTTTTTTAATGAGGGGTAAAATTGGGTCATTAAGTTTTACAAGGGTGCAGGAGAAAATGGCCATTTCGTTTAGGGGAAAGGCCCATAATAACATTTGTTGGGTTTATTTCAATACGGGCCCATCGTGTGCAAACCCTAAACCCTATTTATGTAATTACGTAATCAATAACCATCCATCCTTCTTCACTCTAAATCGCGCATTCTGTTTTTCTTTACACGCATTCCGGCGCAAAATGAAGGTCATCGCCGCCTATTTGCTCGCCGTCTTGGGAGGCAATGCTGCTCCTTCCGCCGATGACTTGAGGCTCATCCTTGGATCTGGTACACATTTTCTTCTTTCTCATCATTTTCTTCACATTTATTTTAAGTCATGTATTTTAAAATCTCATTCGATTTGTTCTTGCTTTGAATTGTCAATGTTCAGTTGGAGCAGACGCAAATGACGACAATATTAGTAACTTCTTGTCCGAAGTCAAGGGCAAAGACATCGCCGAACTTATCGCCGCCGGTAAGGAAAAGTTGGCTTCAGTGCCTTCCGGCGGTGGCGCTGCCGTTGCCGTGACCGCCGCTCCCGGAGGTGGCGCTTCTGCTCCGGCAGCAGCCGAATCTAAGAAGGAGGAAAAGGTGGAAGAGAAGGAGGAATCAGATGACGTAATATTTTCTTTCTCGTGCTTTTGCTAACCTATCATATGCGTTGTATTTTCTAGGTTTATATTGAGGACAATTATTCCGATGCCGATTTCGTTATTTTTCAATTAAATTGTTAGTTTGAGTAGTATCTGATTTTTTTTGTTGTTGGTTTGTTTTGCGATGCAGGATATGGGCTTCAGTCTTTTTGATTAATTGGTAGGCATCTCAACCAGTGTTCGGATCATATTATCGACTTAGAGTTACTTAGCTTTGTTTTTTTGTTGTTTAAGTAGATTTCAAGTCAATGAATTGCGTTGCTGAATTATTTGGGTACTATATTGATGATCTTAATGAATTTTCTTCAATGAATTACTTTATATATTTTATCCTTCATGCACTTTCATTTTTTAGAAATTCAGTATGTATCTATGTACCAGAATTAAATATCATATCATTAAAAATTGTGATCAAGATTTTGAAGTACATTGCTGCGTATAATACTACTACTCCTGCAGAGTGTTTGATAATGCAATCTTTTTGTGCTGTTTTCAGTAAAACACATTTTTTTAATCTTTCTTTCACTATTATAGGAAGGAGGGATTGATATTTGTTTGCATGTTTTCGTTGTTTATACCTTCAGTGCTATTGCTAAAACAAAATTCTATTTGTAATGGAGATCTACTCTCTGCAAGTACCTCATCTTTAGAATCTACTATGACTGGTTAAACATGTCCCAAACACTTAGGCTTTTGGTGAGTCTGGAATGTTGGCTCCAGATATCACTGCCTCACTTAAGTTGTCGCCAGTGACACTGTAAATGCACAAAAAGAGGCTTGTGATGAATGAACACAATAAGTAACAATGTAGAAGCTTTCACTAGGAGCAATTAGTAAAGAAGTGAGGATATATCTACTAAGTAGCTTGATATTTCTTGTTAAACTAGAATCACGTCAATTCAGTTGGAAAAAAATTGGAAGCTGGCGTATCTTACCCATGTAGCACACCTTTTTTAAGGTTAGCATTTGGTCACCCCCTTGTTCGGAATTCAGTTCCCTTAAACTGAATCCTGAAATGTTTTTATCCTTTTCTTCTTTTTAAGTATATACATTTTAAATTGATTTGAGATTATTATGTTTTTTGAATTCGTGCATAGTTGTATATTTTACTTTTGTTAAAATTTAACTGATTATCATTGAAATGATAGGAAGGAAATATGAGCATTAAATCAAAGAATGTTTAATAAAAATGTTAATTTTATTACAATGAATTTTGAGATGGTTGTTATTATTACTAAGTTGAATGATACCATAACAATAACATTTAAAATGTTAAAAAATATTGACAAATAATAATGGAAAATACTTCTCTCTTTCTCATTTCTAGCTTTTGAATTGTACAATTCTAAAAGGACAAAATGAAAAAAATATTTATGGGGGTGCAGGAAGAAAGGTACGGAGGTGGAGGAAGAAACTGTCATCCATCTATGTTTATCCATACCATTT